ACACTCACTCGCACACACACACACACACACACATACACAGACACTCGTACACACATACACTCACTCGCATACACACACACACACAGACACTCACTCGTACACACATACACACAGACACTCACTCGCATACACACACACAAACAGACACTCACTCGTACACACAGACACTCACTCGCATACACACACACACACACATACACACACACACACAAAGACACTCACTCACTCGCTCGCACACACACACACACAGACACTCACTCGTACACATACAGACACACTCACACACACACATATAGAGACACACACACTCACACACACAGAGACACACACACGCACACGATCACTCGCGCACACAGACATACACACACACACACACACACAAAGACACTCACTCGTACACACACAGACACACTCACACACACACATAAAGACACTCACTCGTACACACACTCACACACACACATATAGAGACACACACACTTACACACACAGAGACACTCACTCGCACACACATACACACACACAGACACTCACTCGCGCGCACACACACACACACACATACAAAGACACACACACTCACACTCACACACACACACAAACACGCACACAGACTCTCACTCGCACACAAATAGGCACACTCACACACACACATACAGAGACACACACACACACAGACACTCACTCGTACACACACACACAGACACTCACTCACACACACACAGACTCACTCACATACAGAGACACACACACTCTCACACACAAACACACAGAGACACACACACGCACACTCGCGCGCGCACGCGCACACACACACACACATGCACCCACAGACACTCACTCACACACACACCTTCAGCTCTGAGACGGAGGTGTAGAGAATGACCCATGATTTCACAGGGAAATAGGGAGAACCTCCCTGCTATGGTCACCAGATTCCACTGTGGAGTGGTATTTACTGACTGTAGGACTGACACTGGTGAAGGGACTGGGTCAAACATATTCCAGATCAATGACAAGACAAAGTTAGCAGAAAGGTTAGTGGTGAAAAGGATACAATGAGGCTACAAAGGGACAGTGACAGATTAGCTGAGTGAGTAAGAACATAGCAGATGGAATACAGTATGGCAAAGTGTGAAGTTATCTGTTTGGTTATGAATGTATGAATTAGGTGTAGGATTAATCCACTCAGTCCATCAAGCCTACTCTCTGCTATTCAATAAGGTGCAGCTGATCTGATTACTCCACATTACCCCAATGTAAGAACCATGCCTTTTTATTATGCATTAAAAGCTGGGGACCGAAATGAGGAAAAGTTGTTTTGAAACCTAAGTTGGAAAGAGTGGCTGAAGTTTTGAATGCAAGTAAGCTGACCATCACAGCAAGCTTTGTGAAAGCTGCTGTTCGATAAGCAAGAACTGAAGAT